CATGTAGACGGAAGTTGAAATTGGGAAAATGGATGAAGCTGTTCTAAACGTTATCAAGAATAGATGGACATCAATATTTTAGGAGTGGGAAAGGAGACAGAAAAACAATTAGACGAAGGTGGAAAGGAACTAGACAGAGTAAAAAGATGTGTACAAGGCTTCCCTGGTGGGTCAGTAGTTCAGAATCTGCCTTCCAACGCTGGGGACACTGGTTCGATGCCTGGTCTAGGAAGACCCCACCTTCCGCGAGGCACCTACGCCCATGCGCGACTACTGCGGAGCCTGTGTGCTGCAACTGCTGAAGCTCACGTGCCCGAGAGCCTGTGCTCCACAAGAGGAGTCACCACAATGAGAAGCCTGCGACTGGAGAGTAGCCTCCACTCGCCAAAACTGGAAAAACCTGCACACAGCAATGAAGATCCAGTGCAGCTAAAAGATAAAGAAAAGATGCGTTCAGAAAGTTGAACTGGGAAAGAACAGAGAGAGAGCAAATAGTAATTGAATAAAATGATAGTGTTAAAAGAGCTGAGTGTTTTAAGTGGGATGAAGTTAAACATCTTTGAGTGCTAGTAGGATAGAATTTATAGAGAGTGAGAGGTGGAAAACTCAGGAGGGAACAAATGACTGATAGCGACACAGGAGGAAATAACTTCAGTTTACATTTCTTGGCCTGAGTCCCCATCCTTCCTCACCCACAATCCTCATATAGTGGCCATTGCTCAGGGGTCCAAAAATTTTTGGCACCCATCTTCAGCCACGTCAAGAGGACAACATGAATCGTCAACTTGTCTCATAGCTATTTCATGTCTCATAGGAGATTTATCTTGGTCAAAATGCAGAATGCATTCAATATGGAAAGAGGAGAGTGAGACAAGACTTGGTTCAACTGGGGAAGATCACTTGCTGGTGGGGCTAAATTTGCAACTATTATTGAAGAATCTACAACCAGATTAACTCCCTATCCATTCATTGAAAGTTTTCCTTGCTTCCTCATCTCACCTGACTAACCACATCCTCTGAGTCAGGACAGAACACAAGATAGCCCTTACTAGTTTGGATTCTGAATTTAAGATTCTCCTAATTGTGACTGTTGCTTCCTGACAGAGATTTTTTTTTTCTGTAAAAAAAAAGAAAGAAAAGAAAGAAAAAGAAATCTGCTAATATATTCTTGATCAGAAGGTGAAGATCTGCAAGTAGTGCTCTAAAGTAGAAATAAAATCTCAGTAATCCTTGTAAGTGGGGATTCTTGAAATGAAGGATGATGTAGCAAGGTTGGGAACATCTCTCAGGGTGCAAGTTATCCTTTCCTCCTCAGGAAATGGAAGAACTCAGCAGCTATCCCTTCTGCCTGAGAGGGACACCATGCCACAGTGCCCAGAACTGCTGTTTCTCAGAACCAGTGTTATGGGAGCTCTCTTACAGGTTTTTAACTTTTGACCAGAGTGCCTCCAGTTTTCCCTCTTATATATTAGAACTGCCTTGCAACGCAGGGGACAAAATTATAGAGCATGTTCCTTTGACTGAAAAGAAAAAAGCTTCTGAAAAACATTTTATCTAAACAAAACAACACAATGCTTTACATATTTAACTTATGTAGTAAGTAAAATATATTTGAAATAGGTAATGCCTTTAAAAAAGACTTTAGAAATGTATTATAATTTTGCTTTGGGTGGCAGTGGGCCTCTTGCTGCACACGGGCTTTTTCTAGTTGGTGGGCGGGGGCCACTTGACCCCTCACCGCAGGGGCATTTTTTGTAGCAGACTGTGGGCTCTCCGTGCACGAGCTTCGGTAGTTGCAGCCCTTGGACTCTAGAGCACGGGCTCAGTAGTTGTGGCTCATGGTCTTAGTCACTCCCTGGGATGTGGGGTCTTGGATCAGGGGTCCAACTGGTGTCCCTTGCCCTTCAAGGCGGGTTCATAACCACTGGACTATCAGGGAAGCCCTAGGTGATGCATTTTATTCCATAGATCCATATGTAACTGTGGTTAGAAAAAGCCCTTTTTCCCTGAATTTGTGAAAGATACAAAGTCTGGTATTTCCTTCAAAATAACCCAAGGGAGGGAGAATAGGTGGCCGTTCAGATTAAATCAGACTGCGTGCGTGCTAAATTGCTTCAGTTGTGTCCCATTCTCTTCCCTGTAGCTCAGACAGTAAAGAATCTGCTTGTAATGCAGGAGACCTGGGTTTGATCCCTGGGTTGGGAAGATGCCCTGGAGAAGGGAATGGCAATCTACTCCGGAATTCTTGCCTGGAGAATCCCATGGACAGAGGGGCCTGGAGGGCTACGATCTGTGGAGTCGCAAAGAGGTGGACACGACTGAGCGACTAACACTACTATGGACTGTAGCCCGCCAGGCTCCTCTGTCCATGGGATTCCTCAGTTAAGAATATTCTAGTGGGTTGCCATTTCCTTCTCCAGGGGAATCTTCCTGTGAATCCCAGGGATCTGAAGTGGGGTCTCCTGCATTGTAGGCAGATTCTCTAGCATCTGAGCTAATAAGGAAGCCTGAATCAGATTAGCTGGGGGTCAATAGTTGTCAAAGCTTGATGACTGATCCATGAGGACTGAAGATATTACTGTCTGTTTTTATATGTTTGAACTTTCCCATAGTGTAATGTTTTCAAAAAGCAGTTGATAAAAAGCCCAAGAAAATAAATAAGATAATTACATTGTAATAAATGCTAAGAAATAAGGTACTGACTGGTCTTTCCACTCAAAGTCCTATCTTAACCTAAGGCACTGGACTCATTCTGTACAGGCTTCCAGATCAACTTTCTTCTAAATCTTCCAGAAAAAGCCTGTCAGGTGGGACCACACCCAAGTGGGGAGAAGAAATGTTTTCTTGGCTGAATCTCTATGGGCCAATTCAGTTTCCACCCTGAAAGGGAGGAGCCAGGATTCCAAGCATTGTCTGCTTAATCCAAAACCATTCGGTCACACCCTGATCTAGCCAATGTTTATAGATTTTAGGTGCAGGAAAAACTACCCTGAGGGCTTGTTGAAGCACAGATGTCTGGGTCTTGTCCTGTGCTCAAGGATTTGATTTTGAGAGTCTGGCTGGAGTTTCATACTTTATTTTTCCAACCATGCATTTGTGTGTGCTCAGTCATGTCTGATTTTTTTCTATCCTATGGACTGTAGCCTGGCAGGCTCCACTGTCCATGGGATTCTCCAGGCAAAAATACTGGAGTGGGTTGCCATTTCCTCTTCCAGGGGATCTTCCTCACCCAGGGATTAAACTCAAATGTCCTGCATTGGCAGGCAGATTCTTTACCACTGCGCCCCCCAGTTCTTAAGCAAATTGAGACAGAGTCCTTGGACTTTGAAGTACACTTCATAGTACTAAGTTAAAGCTACCCGTCATATATGCAGATGACACCACCCTTATGGCAGAAAGTGAAGAAGAAGTAAAGAACCTCTTGAGGAAAGTGAAACAGGAGAGAGAAAAAGTTGGCTTAAAGCTCAACATTCAGAAAACTAAGATCATGGCATCCGGTCCCATCACTTCATGGCAAATAGATGGGGAAACAGGGGAAACAGTGGCTGACTTTATTTTCCTGGGCTCCAAAATCACTGCAGATGGTGATTGCAGCCATGAAATTAAAAGACACTTCCTCCTTGGAAGGAAAGTTATGACCAACCTAGACAGCATATTAAAAAGCAGAGACACTACTTTGCCAACAAAGGTCCATCTAGTCAAGGCTATGGTTTTTCCAGTGGTCATGTATGGATGCGAGAGTTGAACTATAAAGAGGACTGAGCCCCAAAGAATTGATGCTTTTGAACTGTGGTGTTGGAGAAGACTCTTGAGAGTCCTTTGGACTGCAAGGAGATCCAACCAGTCCATCCTAAAGGCGATCAGTCCTGGGTGTTCATTGGAAGGTGAAACTCCAATACTTTGGCCACCTGATGCGAAGAGCTGACTCATTTGAAAAGACCCTGATGCTGGGAGGGATGGGGGGCAGGAGGAGAAGGGGACGACAGAGGATGAGATGGCTGGATGGCATCACCGACCCAATGGACATGGGTTTGGGTGGACTCCGGGAGCTGGTGATGGACAGGGAGAGGCCTGGTGTGCTGCGGTTCATAGGTTCGCAACGAGTTGGACATGACTGAGGGACTCAACTTACTGAAAGTTACCCGGGCTCCCTGGGTCCTGAGACCAATGGCCTCTGGGCAGAGAAAGCCTATTATGGATGACCAATGGATGCCAGGGCTGCCATGTTGTTTGTGAAGATTTTCCTTTAGAAGCTCTGACTCATTAGAATGGCCTATGAAAACATCTGTGACTTCTCCAGCCGCATCTCTTGTCACATCCTCCCCACAACATTATCCTCTAGCAGTTCCTTCTGCATTCATTAGCAGATCTCTTGCCTTGGTGTTTTGTCTCCTGCTGTTCTTATTCTGAATAGCCTAACCTTTCCCTTCTACTCAGCTCACCATTATTGTGGGCTTAAACTTTGTGCTTACAGCTAGATCTCGGAGTGGTCCTGTTATCTAAACACTACAATCTGAATCTAATCTCCCGGTGAGTAACACACCCTTAGCCATAAATCAGTCACAAAACACATCTGAACATCTATTCCCTCCACAAAACATCCTTCATTCTATCATCAATATTATTTACAAATATTATTCATTTGTTTGTAACTTAACAACCGTTTTTCATTTTTTATTTTCTAAGTCTCATCTTAAAGGAATAAAAACCAAAAATTTTGAAAAAGATCAGGAGTGATTATTAATTACTCAGTAACTTAACTCTCAGCTAATAGACGAGAGTGTGTATAAAGCTGATGAAATTATCATACTGACAGATAACAAGGGAGGGGGAAAGAGGAGGGACGAAAGAGGAGGAATACAGCTCTCCTGGGAAAGAGGAAGTAGGGGACATTTACTTACAAAAGGAAGGAGAAACTGGACTAGAAACCCTCAGGTTAAGAGGATTAAACTGCTGAGATTGAACACTGTGACTCTGCCTTTCTCTGAGCATTCCTTGAAATGGCATACTCAAATTACGGGAAGGTAAGTTTGGTTTGATTTCATTCATTTTCCCACAGATTGACTTTTTAAAGCTTTTCTGGAGCTCACTTCTATTTCTTTCTTGCCACAAGTCTTAATTTCTGGATGTGAGAAACCTCTGAGAATCTCCTCTTTGCAAGTGAATTATTTTCTTTCATGTCGTTGGGTGAAAGTAAAAGGGAGAAATTAAATATTTCTCTTTCTAGTTCTAAGTAAGATACTTTTTTCATAGAAAGACATGTTGTAGCTGGGCAAGATAAAACGGTAAAGAAATGGCCGGCTGCAGTGAAAAGAGTGAAAAGGGTAATATGCGTAAGGTCAGACAGTGAATTGACCAGTGGTTTCTTTCCTTCAGGGATAAGAAGCTACCCACTCCCAATGGCCTTGCTACAAAACAGGTTTCCTGACTTTGCTTGGGTAGTCATTAACTAGATGAGAATATAAATTGAGGAGGTTTCATCCACAGGAACCACTTGGAGAAGGGAATGGCCACCTACTCCAGTGTTCTTGCCTGGAGAATCCATGGACAAAGGAGCCTGGTGGGCTAGAGGCCCCCCAGTTGCATAGAGTCAGACGTGACTGAGCCACAGACACACACAACCACAGCGTGGGCTGAAGGGCAGAATGGGCCAATGTTAAGAACAGAATTTATGGGCAAGTCATATAGCTTTTACCTCTTGACTGGAATGATACTTCTCCCAATAATGCCGATTTGTTTTTAGTGATGTATGTCCCAGAGTATTTTGAAAAAGTGGTGGACAAACGCAAAATCCCTAGTTGCAAGCTGAAGTGTGAACGCAAGGGGAAGTCTTTGGAAAGATTTAAACAGGGGGAGGGAAGCCTGGTGTGCTGCAGCCCCTGGGTCGCACAGAGTCAGACGCAACCTGATGACTGAACTAACAGAGGGAAAGGCGTGTCAAATGCAGATGCATCTAGCTGTTCAGAAAAGAGTGTATTACAATTGAGCTGGAATGGAGTTTATTTGCCCTTGGATTGAGGGGAAAAGTTAAGAAACTTAAGCATATGTGACTCTGTGGCGTTGATCATTTAATTTCTGAGCCTCAGTTATTTCTCTGGTGGCTCAGACAGTAAAGAATCTGCCTGCAATGCAGGAGATCCCGGTTCTGGGTGGGGAAGATCCCCCAAAGGAGGGCATGGCAACAACCCCCTGCAGTATTCTTGCCTGGAGCATTCCCACGGACAGAGTCTATAGGATCACAAGGAGTAGGATATGACTGAGCAACTAACTCTTTCAGTTGCCTACTTTGTAAAATAGGAAAACCAGTAAATTACTGCAAGTATGTTACAGGATTGAGAACTATAGAAAGCTCCTAGCACAGTGCATGCGTACTGTACCAAACCCATAAATATCAGTTCCTTTCCACCCATCCACTTTAACTTTCATTCATGAAACTGTTAAAAGAACACTGACTGTCCACTGTGTACCCTGTGATTGCTGTGGAGAGTAAGACAGATACATTTGCTTCCCTCAGGCTGCTCTGGCTGAAGCTCAGAAAGCTCAGGGGTCTTAAACTGGAAAGGAAGGCAGGGGCCCCACTGTTCAAGAATTTACAAGCTGCATGAGGGAATTTTGTCTTTAATGGAAATATTTTATTTTTAAAAATTATTATCCTAATAAATGATTATTTACTTTTAAAAATTGGAGTATAATTGCTTGGCAATGTTGTGTCAGATTCTGCTGTACTATGCAGTGAGTCAGCTATGAAAAGCGAAAGTGTGAAAGTGTTAATCACTCAGTCGTGTCCGACTCCTTGCGACCCCACGGACCTTAGCCCGCCAGGCTCCTCTGTTCAGGGATTCTGTTCTCCAGGCAAGAATATCAGAGTGGATGTTTATGTACAACCCCTCTGTGTTTGAGTCTTCCTCCCAACTGAAGTGTTTTAAATAAGCAGTAGAGCCGTCTGTAGAAAGGGGCAGAGATGGATTTTGGAATAACGGAAGATAATTGCTCCTGCCAATGAGAGCTGATGCTTACTTGAATCACACAATAGAAGATGAGAAGGCAGAAGCACCTTCCACACAGATTCAGGAGATAAAATGAAAATATGTTTTAGCTGATGAAGAGAAAGGCTATGAGGGCAATGGTTTCCCCAAACCCAAGATCTATGCTTTAATTTCTTCTTATCGGTCAGTTCAATTCAGTCACTCAGTCGTGTCCGACCCTGTGGACTGCAGCACGCCAGGCTTCCCTGTCCATTACCAACTCCTTACTCAACAGCTTACTCAGACTCATGCCATTGAGTCGGTGTAAATCTGCTTTTGCTCATTTCCTCATTGTTTTTCTTATCTAATAAAGGGTCTACTAGGGGCTTCTCTGGTGGCTGAGATGGTAAAGAATCTGCCTGCAATTCAGGAGAGGTTCAATCCCTGGGTTGGGAAGATCCCCTGGAGAAGGGAATGGCAACCTACTCTGGTATTCTGGCCTGGAGAATTCCATGGACTGTATAGTCCATGGGGTCGAAAGGAGTTGGAAATGTCTGAGTGACTTTCACTTTCACACTTCACAATAAAGGGTCTACGAATCAATATGAAATTCAGGAAATCTCGGTCTTTCCATCCGACTGCTGGCTTCACAGTCTCTTATCCATTAGTTGCGTCGTGAAGTTACACATCCTAGTGTACAGCATTAAATGAGAACAGTCACTGACACTTCCTTTTCCAGAATTTCTTTGAAGGGCCATTGGATGAAGAAAATGTGATTCTTACATTGTATCCAGTTAATGAGGAAATTATTGAAGACCATCAAGTGGATCCAGGTGTTTCTTCAACCTCGAAAGCCAAAGAGGCACTGAATACAAATGATCAAGGTATGGGGACCACAGGGTTAGCTCCCAGGAAAAGTCGGTCCCCCTGACTTCTCCCTACGTGACACCCAGCTGAATTCTCACCTTGATAACCTGTGGGAAGAGATTTCTCAAACTCTCATACTTCTCCTTTGCTAAGCACCCTTACTGTCTTACTCTGAAAAAGACAAAAAAAATAGTCATGTGGAGTGCTTTGAATAGAGCATCATCTCATGTGGCAACTAGATGTGAGCTCAAATTCCCAACCTACGAAGCTCAGTCTTCTTTTCATTTTGGTGAATACGCTTTTTACATACCTCTTACGAAGACCAAATCATTTTTTTCTGAGTTTTTTTGTTATATATAATTGACACAGAAAACATTGTATAATTTTAAGGTATATAATGTGATGATTGATGTATGTGTCTATTGCAAAATGATGACCAAATAAGATTATGAACAATAATACGAAATTAAGAAATGATGACAAAATAAGAACACATTCATCATCTCACAGTTAACTCCCTTCACCATGGTGAGAACATTTTAAGATTTACTCTCTTAATTTTTCAGAATACATTATAGCATTAACTATAGTTACCTTGATATGCATTAGATCCCTAGAACTCACTCATCTTATAACTGAAAACTTGTACTCTTTGATCCAGGGAAACTCCCCATTTCCCTTGCCCCCAGTTCCTGGCAACCACCAATATACTCTCTGTGCCTGAATTCAGCTTTTTTAGATTCCACATATAAGATCAGATGGTATTTGGGAGGCTAAATCACTTAGAAAACATCTAGTCTTCTGCTTGGTGAGTAATTACTGATGAAATATCTAGTAGACTCTTCGTATCTGTTCTTGGGGCTTTGTATAGAGGCATCAAAGAAGTATTTTTAGAATGATCTTATTTGGCAGGGGCAAATAACGAGGGCTTCAAGATAGAGCAGATAGTGACAAGTTAAAGCTAGGCAAAGCGATGTGAGACAGGGTAACATTTCTTTGTTGAGGAAAATGAGGCAGGTGGACAGAAAGGATGTTGAACAGTGTGGTTTTAATGATTTCTATAAGGACAGATAGTTTGTGGACCCACATCTGGATGTTTTGGAGAGCAATCCAATGTAATATTGTATTCAGGAGGTTGGTGATGGCTGTAAAAAGTAGTTTACTGAATGTAGTATAAAAAATTTATAATTTCAAAATGTGGATTTGAGTCCTAGGTCTGCCATTTTCATGATGGTGTGATCTTGGTTAAGTCCTTGAATTCTTGAATCTATTACTTTATTTGTAAGATGAGAACAAAATACTGGATAGGTATATGTGCAAACTCAGTTGTGGGGAGTGAGAACTTTGTAAAATTAAAAAGAATTTTACAAATAGATTAATGTATTGCTATTTTGGTCCCCTTCTTTCCTCAGTTCCTATTCCTCAAATAGATGAGCTTGCGGAAGACTGTCCAAGCTCCAGCTTTAGAAGATCAGTTTGCCCCTTGCCGGCCACATTGCCTCCAATTAACGACGTGAGTCGGGACACTCTGCGGTACTGGTGCCAACAGCTTAAGCTGAGCACCGATGGCCAGGTGAGTGCACTGGTGGGAATCTCTGGTGCTCGGAACAAATATGGGAGCGCTGCCAGCTTTTAATTTTTATGAGAAGTGAAGTTGCTAAGTCGTGTGCGACTCTGTGATCCCATGGGCTGTAGCCTACCAGGCTCCTCCATCTGTGGAATTTTCCAGGCAAAAGTACTGGAGTTGGTTGCCATTTCCTTCTCCAGGGGGTTTTCCTGACCTGGGGATCGAACCTAGGTCTCCCGCATTGCAGGCAGACGCTTTACCCTCTGAGCCACCAGGGAAGGCCTTTAATTTTAATTGTTATTTCCCTTCTTAATTTCCTTAGAAAATAGAAGTTTATCGGAGACTCCAGGAACATGCTTATCCTGAAAAAGATCAGGTGAGTGCGGAACGTGGTGATGTAAGTTCTGTAACCCCCTCTTCTCCATCATCTCCACACCTAATACCTTGCAGGCAAGGTTTCTCGTTCACGACAATTGGCACCTGGGGCCAATTCGCTTCTTTTTCTCCTAAGGGTTGTCCTGTGCATTTTATTTATTATTTATTTTTTGTCCTGTGCATTTTAGGATGTTTAGTAGGCTAAATATCCCCGGATTCTACCCACAACGTGTCAGTGGGCTCCCTCCTCCTACACACAGTTTAGCAAACAAAATTTCTCCCAGTTGAGAATCACTAGTTTGAGGGAACCGACCTTCCTGAACCATTTCTGCACTGACATACACAGGTCATGCATGAAGAATGATAAGATCGGCACAAACATGCTTAGGGCAGCGGCACTTCACTGCGTACTTATTGTGAATTTCATTTGCAGTATATTCCTAAGTCACCACGGGAGGCCCGAATGCACTCGTGTTCGAGGAAACACAACATGGTGACCAACAGAGGCGGTGTACAGAAAAGGAAGATGAGGAAGGGTGAGGAACGGACCAGCGTGATTGAGGTGGTAACTTCCGCTCAGGCGGCCATGTTGGCAGCGTGGTCAAGAATTGCTGCAAGGGCTGTTCAACCAAAGGCTGTGAGTTCACGTGCCCTTCGCACCTCTGAATCCTTTCTGCCACAAGCCTCAGGTAAGATCAACCTTAAAGAGTGGTTGCCATGCCGGAGAAAGAAGGCAGTCTTTAAAAAAGAAAAAATGCTTTATTTTATTTTTTGGTTTCACTACATGGCATGTGGGATCTTAGTTCCCCCAACCCAGGGATTGAACCTGTGCCCTCTGCATTGAAAGTGTGAAGTCTTAACCACTGGACCTCAAGGGAAGTCCCAGAAGACACACTTTTTTTAGTCCAATGCTAATGGTAGTTAAAGTGAAAGAGTTAAAATATCTGCAGATGCAATGTTAGCTCCACAGAGGGCTTAGCTTTTGATTGATAGTCAAGTTTTGCCTGAATGGCTCTGAGTCAGGTGACTGAGTTGGGGATATTTTCTCATCACTAAGCAGAAGGTGGGAAGAAAGCATAATCTGCTAACGAGGCCAGCCACGGCCAGAGATCTTCCCCTTTCTCTCGGAGAAACCCAAGGTTTCTCAGTGCAAACCCTGATATCCTGATTTATAAAACTGAAGATATCAATTCTTCAACTTTATAGAATGACTGTGAGGCTTATGAGATACAACTTGGTTTATTAAAAGTAGGCAAAAGTAACTGAAATATTTGGGGCCCCTGTCCTCTTGAGAAATCTTACATGAGCATAACTTAGCTTCATCTTTCTTCAGTTCCTGCTCCTCTAGTTGGTATTTCTGTTTTCATTAACAGGACAACCTCCCTCAGGTCAGTGCACAGTCACTGTCTTCTGTGGCTTGCATTCTTTTCCTCCCTCCACCCCATTTCCAGAGGTGTTCTGAAGCCTGTTATTCAGGACTGACTTGTGTGGCATAGTTCACCACATGAAGAACCCAGATGGAAAAAAGAACAGGTTGGGAGCTAAAACTGGCCTGCTGGCTGCCCACCACCCCCCAGGTGTGCGTCCCTCTGTGAGGAGAAACGAGCGCCTTTTCCTAGTGTTCAAAAGCAGTATCCAGCCACAAAGCTGTCTCGGAGACCTGCTTCCCTAACGAGGACAACTCTTTCTAATTTTCACTGATGTGCCGTGTGAGAGAGCGGCACCCTAGACTTACCCTTTTAGCCCTTCTTCATCTAGTTTATCAAGGTGCTTCATGCAGTTATCAAGCACCTACTGGGATACAGGCGAGTGCCTAGCCACCACGTATATTGTGCTGTAGCATCTTTATTCCTTTTTAACTTATTTTTTTTTAAATTTATTTTATTGAAGTCATAGTTGATTTACAAAATTGTGTTAATTTATACTGTATAGCAAGTGATCCAGTTACATATACTCATACGCTCTTCTGCATATTCTTTTCCATTATGACATCACAGGATATTGAATATAGTTCCTTGTGCTACACAGCAGGACCTTGTTGCTTATCCATTCTATATAAAATAGCTTGCATCAGCTAATCTCAAACTTCCCGTCATCCATCCCTCCCACACCTCTCCCCCTTGGCAACCACAAGTCTTCATTCTCTGCATCTGAGTCTGTTCCACTTTGTAGATAAGTTCATTCGTGTCCATATTTTAGATTCCACATGTAAGTGGTATCATATGGTGTTTGTCTTTCTCTTTCTGACTGACTTAGTATGATAATCTCCAGGCCCATCCACGTTGCTGCAAATGCCATTGTTTCATTCTTTTTTATGGCTGAGTAATATTCCACTGGGGCTTCCCAGATGGTGCAGTGGTAAAGAATCCACCTGCCAATGCAGAAGGGTTGGGTTTGACCCCTGGGTCGGGAAGATCCCCTGAAGGAAATGGCAACCTGTTCTAGTATTCTTGCCTGGGAAATTCTTGCCTAGTGGGCTACAGTTCATGGGGTTGCAAAGAGTTGGATATGACTGAATGAGTGAGCACAATATTCCATTCCATTCCATTCCATCTTCTTTATCCATTCGTTGATGGACATTTAGATTTTTTTACCCATGTTTTGGCTATTGTAAATAGTGCTGCTATGAACACTGGGGTGCCTGTATGTTTTTGAATTACAGTTTTGTCTGAATATATGCCCAGGAGATGAATTGCTGGATTATATGGAAATTTATACCTTTATGGTGTCATGTCTTACATTTAAATCTTTAAGCCATTTTGAATTAGTTTGTATGTGGCATAAGGATGTATTCTAACTTGATTGATTTACATGCAGCTGTAACTTTCCCAACACCATTTGCTGAAGAGACTGTCTTTTCTCCATTATACACTCTTGCCTCCTTTGTCAAAGATTAGTTGAGCCAAGTGTGTGGGTTCATTTCTTGGCTCTCTTTTCCATTCCATTGGCCCAGATGTCTGTTTCTGTGCCGATACCATGCTGCTTTCATTAACGTACCTTGTAGTGTTAGCTGAAATCTGAGAAGGTTGTGCTGCTACTTTGCTGTTTTCCCTCAGGATTGTTTGGTGATTCAGGCTCTTATGATTCCAATATCAATTTTAGGGTTACTTGTTCTAGTTTTGTGAAAAATCTCATGGGTAATTTGATAGGGATCACATTAAGTCTGTAGATTGCTTTGGGTGGTATAGCCATTTAAACAATATTAGTTCTACTATCCAAGAGCATGGTAATCTCTACTCTTTTATAGTGTGGGGAGCTTTTATAGCTACTTAAGCCTACATTGATTGATCCTTTCTCTGAATTTCAGACATTGGATATCTACTCCCAATAGACGGGACTTCCTCTGTTGTCTTTCAAATATCCCATCTCCCCAGTTAGATTGTTCCTTAGACTTTTAAACAAAGATCTTTCTGCCTGTTTTCTATGGTTGAGGTAGTACAATGTAGTGGTTAGGCAAATGGACCATGCATCTAGAATACCTATATCCTTGTTTTGGTTCTGGGAAAATTATGTTCTTTTCACACTATAAGCTTCATTTACCTCACCTGTAAATTAAAGCAAAGACTAATAATGTTCTTAAAAATAAATATATTAATACATGTGAATCGCTTAGCAAAATCCTAGACACAAAGCAAGTTTTCCTGAAAGTCGATTGCTGGTGTCCCGTGTGCTATGCAGCTTGTGAATCAGATTATGGTGTCTTTGGTCTACATTCTTTATGCTTCTTATTCAGCTGATTCATCAGCAGGATCTAAGAGCGAAATTAAGAGAGACTCACTGAGGGGTTGAGTTGGGGCGCTGTTATCTGGTCTTAGCCGTTTGCGTTTGCTTGTTTTCCCCTGTCTAGGTGTGCGGTGGTGTGTGGTCCACGGCAGGCCACTCTTGGCAGAAGCCGTTGACATTTGCTTGTTTTCCCCTGTCTAGGTGTGCGGTGGTGTGTGGTCCACGGCAGGCCACTCTTGGCAGAAGCCGTTGACATTTGCTTGTTTCCCCTGTCTAGGTGTGCGGTGGTGTGTGGTCCACGGCAGGCCACTCTCGGCAGACACAGGAGGCTGGGTTCGCCTGCAGCTCCAAGCAGGCCAGGCCTGGGTGCCTGACAGCGCCAGGAGGATGACCTTCCTGTTCATGTTGCCTGCCTGCACCTTCGCACCCCCAGAGCTGGAGGACAACCTGCTATGCCCTGAATGTGCTAAGAGGTGCCCCTTAAGTATATACAGATTTTTCTTGTTCATTTATTTTTATTAGTTGGAGGCTAACTACTGTACAGTATTGTAGTGGATTTTGCCATACATTGACATGAATCAGCCATGGATTTACATGTGTTCCCCATCCCGATCCCCCCTCCCCCTCCCGCCTCCCTCCCCCCTCCCCTCCCCATCCCATCCCTCTGGGTCTTCCCAGCGCACCAGCCCTGAGCACTTGTCTCATGCATCCAACCTGGGTTGGTGATCTGTTTCACCCTTGATAGTGTACTTGTTTCAATGCTATTCTCTCAGAACATCCCACCCTCACCTTCTCCCACAGAGTCCCAAAGTTAAGTATATTTTTAAGTATGGCTAGATGGCTAGATGGGTTTCTGAATAATTTGGTGGGAGAAGGCAGAGGGGAAGCATGCTGTTTCATTAATTTGCCATACAGATCAGAATCCATATGCCATATATCCAGAAAGCCATATAGAATTCTCCTGCAATGCAGGAGACCCTGGTTTGTTTCCTGGGTTGGGAAGATCCACTAGAGAGGGGATAGGCTACCCACTCCAGTACTCTGGCCTGGAGAATTCCATGGACTGTGTAGTCCATGGGGTCACAAAGAGTTGTACATGACTGAGCGACTTTCACTTTCAGGGAAATAGGAAGCAAAAATAATTTAGTGGTAGATTAGAGCTCAGATAAATACGGCTTCTTCTTAGCAACCTTAACAAAGCATCTGACAAGTTGGACCTTAACTGTCTCAATTTTAGAGAGATCTATTCCTTTTGTTGTTATTGATTTTTGGTTGTGCTGGATCTTCTTTGCTGCATGTCAGCTTTCTCTGGTTGCATTGAGCAGGGGCTACCCTTCATTGCAGTGCACGGGCTTCTTGTTGTGGTGGCTTCTCTTGTGGGACATAAGCTCTAGGCACAGGCTTCAGTAGTCGTGGTGCATGGGCTTAGCTGCATCTCAATACGTGGAATCTTCCCAGACCAGGGATTGAAACCTCGTCCCCTGCATTGGCAGTTGGATTCTTATCCATTCTACCACCAGGGAAGTCCGAGAGATCTGTTTTAAGAAAGAAAAAATCAAGAGTTCTTACCATATGTCAGATACTTAGCTGGGGAATACAAAAATTAATAAGACAAAACCCATTTAGCATGCTGTAATGAAAATGACTAAGAGATGCTATGAAAATATATGGGTAGTACTTATATTGGAGTGACTTAGGGAAATTTTAGGAGGGATTACATGTACTGAGGAAGAGCTCACCAGTTAGAAATTAACAATTTGGGACTTTTGGTAGTGAAAACAGCCCATGCTAATACCTGAAAGTGGAAGAATATGATCTACTTACAGACTGCAAATAGGCCAATAAATTGAAGCTTATTGATGAGTAAGTCTATAAAGGGGAGAAGCAGACTACTGGTTTTATATCTATATTAAAGGTCTCTTATATTATCCTGCAGGTTATAGTCTCTACCACTTTTGGGACATAAGACTTCTTTGAGAAAATGATGATAATGACATACCCTCCATCCAAGAAAATACACATTAGGAATACACACAAGCAGTGCTTTAGGTTTTATGTAGACACATAATTCCCAATGGTCATCCATAAGTACAAAATCTAGCTTATGGTGATAGGATTGGCTGGAGGTGATTCAAGACTGGTGTGAAGGGAAATTATAGTATTTTTTTTTGGATGGTAGACTGAAATCTTGCAACAGAGACTAAATTGGAAGGTAAGAGATTATTGTAATAATTCTGGGAAGATGTAATTTATGACCTTGACAAAGAATTTAAAGAGACATTAAGAGTTGCAGGAGTGTAGAGAAACAGGATGCCATCTTATTAGAGGCTAGGTATTAATAGAAGTTCCTCTGAGCCACCAGGGAAGCCCATTAATAGAAGTTCAGTTCAATGGCCAAGAATTATATGTGATATATGCTTGACATGTGTCCAGTGTTCAGGAAGTATGGGTTAGAGAGAAACATCTTTGGGAATTAGGAGGGACTGCAGAATAATCTCGAAGGCAATGGCACCCCACTCCAGTACTCTTGCCTGGAAAATCCCATGGATGGAGGAGCCTGGTGGGCTGCAGTCCATGGCGTCACTAAGAGTCAGACATGACTGAACTTCACTTTCACTTTTCACTTTCACGCACTGGAGAAGGCAATGGCAGCCCACTCCAGTGTTCTTGCCTGGAGAATCCCAGGCATGGGGGAGCCTGGTGGGCTGCCATCTATGGGGTCGCACAGAGTCGGACACGACTGAAGTGACTCAGCAGCAGCAGCAGCAGAAGAATCTTAAAGAGAATCAGCTTATTGATGACAAGTGAGCAATGAAGACTGAAAAAGTGCAGCTAGAGGTTGGGAGATAAGTGAGAAAGCCAAGGGTAGAGTTTCAGGAGGAGACGGTCGGCAGTAAGACAGCCTTGCAGTGCTGTTGCGAATGTCAATTTGGGACGCTACTGGTGGTCTTTTTGAGAGCAGGCTGAGAGGGTCAGGTGATAGCTGGAGGAGAGCATGTGAAGAACTAGGAACAGGTCATACTGATGATCTCTACTACTTGAACTGACCAAGAGGAGATAGCAGGTGAGGCAATAATACCAAGGGAGCTTGTTTGTGTCTTTCCCTCCTTCCTTCCTTCCTTCTTCTTTTTGTTTTTAAAGGGAATACCAAGAGCTTTGTGAACAGAGAGGGCATTAGGAGAGAAGCTGTGAGGAGGAAAGGGAGGGTATAAAGATAAAGGTGGCAGAACCAATTGTAGTGTACAGAATAGGAGCCCTGATATTAAGTGGACAATCTTTCTTTTGTTTGACACATAAAATCTTGTTACTTTTTAAAATCTTTTCAATTTTAAAATCTTTTAGGTGGTAGGGCAAACCACTCAGACTCCAGAAGTGTATTCCTTATTTTATTGATCAGTTTTCAAGGATTTGGTATGGGATAATCTATCTTATTCTAAACATTTTTTCAAAATTCTTTTCTGATTTGCTTTATAGGAATAAGAAGATTATGAAAAGATTAATCGCAATGGGGAGGAGGAAGAAAGCTGGTTTGGATACATCAACATCATTGCTTTCAAATGGGCCACATCTTAAGACAGACTAAGTGATTGCCAGAGGGGAAGGAATGGGAGGTGCGGAAGTGGGTGAAGGGGTAATTTTACGGTAATCATGATTAACTAGGTTTTTGTAGTGTCAAATATCAAATTACTGTGTTGCATATCTGTAGTGGGTGTGTGCATGTGTGTGCTCAATCGCTCAGTCCTTCAGTTGTGCTCGATTCTTCGGGACCTCACGGACTTCAGTCTGCCAGGCTTTGCTGTCCATGGAATTTTCCAGGCGAGAATGCTGGTGGAGGACTTCACATTTCCTTCTCCAGGGGAAACTTCTTGACCCAGGGATCAAACCTGCATCTCCTGCATTGGCAGGAGGATTCCTCACCACTATGCTGTCTGGGAAGCCCTGTACCTCTAACGTAATGTTTTATATGGTTTTACCTCAGTCTTTAAAAAGTTAGACTTCACCACTGAGGTCATCTGGTCTTGGACTTTTGCCTGATGAGAAGATTTTGATTACTGATTCAATCTCCTTATTAGTAATCAGGGGGAAAAGGATAAATGGTGGAGAGCCCACAGTTAAAGTGATTCACATCCTGATGACTGCTATTCTCTGTTCTCACCATCCTCAGCGTGGCCTGATGCCTTAAGTAGGATGGGAATATCTGTACTCTGTACTTGAGGTTTACCTGAAAGTGACTGTTACTAGCTATGTGTTGCTAGAATGTAATTTGGTTTTGTTCTAGTTAATACATTTTTTTCAGCAGTTTTTGACTTAATGCTGAATACTCCATTGTCTGGATGTATCATAATATATCCATTCATATCTTGAAGGCCACCTTGGTTAATTCCAAGGTTTGGCAATTATGAATAAAGCTGCTATATACATTTGTGTGCAGGTTTTTGTGTGAACACACAGTTTTCAGCTCATTTGGGTAAATACCAAGGAGTGTTATTTCTGAATCTTATAAACGTATGTTTAGTTCTGTAAGAAGCTGCCCAACTGTCTTCTGAAGTGGCTGTCCTGTTTTGTACTCCCACCAGCAGTGGATGAGACTTCTCTCTGCTCCACATCCTCGCTAGCATTTGGGGTTGTTTGCTAGTGCTTTGGATCTTGGCCATCTTTAAAGGTGTACCATTTTAATTCGCAGTTCCCTGGTGATACATGCTGAGGCTGAAACTCCAGTACTCTGGCCACCTCATGCGGAGAGCTGACTCATCGGAAAAGGCCCTGATGCTGGGAGGGATTGGGGGCAGGAGGAGAAGGGGACAACAGAGGGTGAGATGGCTGGATGGCATCACCGACTCGATGGACATGAGTTTGAGTAAACTCTGGGAGTTGGTGATGGACAGGGAGGTCTGGCGCGCTGCGGTTCATGGGGTCGCAGAGAGTTGGACACGACTGAGCGACTGAACTGAACTGAGTGATATACGATTAGGACATCTCTTCATGTATTTTGTTAGATCAGTTAAGAATAAGAAAATAAAGTACTTTTAGCTTCTTTTATTTCTTCTCTAGAAATCTTCCTTTCTTTGGAGCTGAGTTTCTGACCTATATCATGTTTTTTCTAAAGCTTTCTTTAAAAAAAAATCCAGCTCTATTAAGCCAGACATTAATTTGCAAAAGGTTTGGAAAACAATGTAACTCTTCTGGCTAAATTTCTTTTAGAAAAATATATTGTTTCGTAAAGATATTTAAGTAACAGGTTTATTGTTATTTTTAATGAACAAATATTTTAGAAAAATTTCTCTGTTTTAATGTCTCATCTGGCAACTATTGATAGACAGACAAGCAAAATCTCAATAATTCTGAATTTTAAGAGTGCAAAGGAGCTACAAGACCAAATTGGTGAGAATCCTTGAGCTAGTCCAACCATCTCTCTCTTCCCTCAATTTTTAGAGGCTTGGAGTGAGAAGAGGTCCAGGGAGATTGTGGCTCTAGTCCTGACATTCTCATTTGGTGTAAACCTTTGAAAACAGTTGTGTCTGGAACACCTCCACGCCAGTGTATTCAGTGTCTCTCTTCATTGGATCCTTATCTGGCTTTAAACATCTATGAGCTTTTTTTCTTTTTAAAAAGGCCTGTCTCTATGCATGTACCTCCCTCCACATTATAACTGCTAGGTCCTTGTACCAGACATTGTTCACACTCACATTCTTACTTGCTCATCTTCCACTCACTAATTCAATATATATTTATTGCAAGCCAACTACAGACCGTGTATCGTTCTAGGTGCTGATAACTCAGCAATGAGTCAAACAAAACCCTTGCTCTTTTAAATCTTGCAGTCTAGTGATTATATAGGTGTCCAGAAAACAGTGCCCAGAACTTATAAATGGGCAGAAAAAGATGACTCTGTGTCTTTCATTGCAGTGCTGGGGTATGCATACGCGCGAGCTCAGTCATGGCCTACTCTTTGCAACCCCATGGATTGTAGCATGCCAGGCTCCTCTGTCCATGGAATTTTCCAGGCAAGAATACTCGAGTGGTTTGCCATTTCCTTCTTCACCTGGGGTATATCTTTGACCTTATGTTGAATAAGTTGTCTTAGAACTTTGTAGGAGTAGAGGCCAAGTGGGCAGAAAACTGATAGAAATGCAAATAATTCTTGTCTGAGAGCAACATAAATAATTCCTATCCCTAGTAACACAAATGGATTTTGTTACTAGAGATGGAGTTATTTTCATCTGGTAGTAGAAATAGCTCCTGACATTACAGTTTATTGCTTAATAGGATATTGATGTTTTTGTAACTATTAGCAAATTTATTTCAGCTTCCCTTTGGCTGATAATCTAAAATCCCTGATACAAATTCTCATTTGAACAACTCTTACCTACCATATTACTGGTTCCCTCATCATTTAAGATAATAATAGATGAATAATTTATTATGATGAGTAAACTCTTTGTTATGTGTTCATTTTATACTTTTTGAGACATTTGTTTTCAACCTTTTGAAAATTACTTAGACTATAAGAAAATAAAATACGTATCAGGTGGTAAGAAGTCAAAAGAATAAAAGCAGGATAAGATGACAGCTTTTAACTGCTGGCATAGTAGGTACCGTTTTATTTATAAATAGGGTCAGTAAGTCAACAAGTCCTGCAGTTCTCTCTCAACTGTATGTGGAATCCATCCTCTTCTCTCCTTTTTCACTGTCACCGCAGTATCCAGACCACTGTCTTTTCTCATCTGACCTCCCCACCTTACTCCTACCCACTCTGATTATCGCCTATCAGATGATCATTCTTATAAACAATTATCTGATCGTGCTCCTCTTTTCCACTGGCTCCCTACGCGGAGTCGTTTTGGGAGGTCTAAACCTTACACAATTCGAGAGTTCCTCTTTGAGAAAAATAATGCAAAACTTAGGTACCGAGCCGTGAAAGTGTGCAAGTGACAGGTTCTGAAACTTCAGCTTCATTAGCTTCACTATCAATCCGCCTCTGCCTACAAGTGTAGCCCCAATTTTTTTCTACCTTTCTCCGTCAATTTCTGCCCAGAAGGCTCTTCCCATTCCTCTTTGCCTAGATAACTCTTTCAGTACTCAGCTTCCGATCCTCCCTGAAACCCCAGTTGGATTAGGGACCTTTATAGAGTCTCCCAAGCCCCAAGCATCCCCTCAGAGCTCCCTTTCTGGGAGACGTTGCTCTTTCAGCACCTTCGAAAGTTCCCTGCCTGGGCGGGGCTTGCTCCTGAAATGTGTCAGTGGGCGGGGCCCCAGCAGAGAGGGCGCAGGCGCCCGCTCTCTCTTTGGTCCGGAGGCGTGAGCCTCCTTCCCGGAACCCGCGCGTCTCGTATGGCAGTTCCGGCCGGAATTAACCCGGAAGCACACGCAGACGGGGCCTGCGCGGTTCCTGGGTTGCGCGGCAGCTAGTGGCCTTCGCGACGGGAAAGAGCGACGTCAGGACTTGGCAAGGTCCAGTGATGGCAGCCTCTTGCCACCAGCCTTCGGAAAACTTTCTTCAGCCTTTCCACTCTTTCTGCACCCTCCTCTGAAAATTTTCTAACTGTTCTTTGGAGACAGATCTACTGGTGAGGAAGTCCCTCCGTTTTTGTCTGAGAAAGTATTTCTCCTTCACTTTTGAAGGATGATTTTGCCAAACACAAAATTCTATTTTTTTTTTTTTAGATACTTTAAATATCACTTCGCTCTTGTTCTTACTTGCATATTTCCTCAAGAGAAGTCATGTTGTCCAGTTGGTAAGTCGTGTCCCGCTCTTTGTGACCCCATGGACTGAAGCCTGCCAGGCTTCCCTGCCCTTCACTATGTTCAGGAGTTTGCTCAAATTCATGTCCATTTGAGTCCGTGATGCTATCTAACCATCTCATCCTCTGCTGTCCTCTTCTCCTTTTGCCTTCAACCTTTCCCAGCATCAGGGTTTTTTCCAGTGAGTTGGCTCTTCAAATCAGGTGGCCAAAGAAAGTATCCGGGCGTCAGCTTCTGTATCAGTTCTTCCAATGAATAGTCAGAGTTGATTTCCTTTAGGATTGACTGGTTTGATTCTCGTTCCAGTCCAAGGGACTCGCAAGAGTTTTTTCCAGCACCACAATTTGAAAGCATCAATTATGCGCTCAGCCCAACCTTCTTTATGGTCCACCTCTTGCATCCTACATAACTACTGGAAAAACCATAGCTTTGTCTGTACAGACCTTTGTCCGCAAAATGATCTCTTTGCTTTTGTTTTTCCAGTAGTCATTTATGGGGCAAGCCCCTTTGCCAGGACAAGGCTGTGATACATTAAGGGGAGAGAAATCATAGATTTCCCCTTTCTTCTCCAGACCTTCATTATGAAACTGTATATGAAACAGTGAATAGTATATTCCTAATTATCTCCCTTTCCATCCCTGATAGCTCAGTTGGTAAAGAATCCGCCTGCAATGCAGGAGACCGCAGTTTGATTCCTGGGCCAGGAAGATCCGCTGCAGAAGGGATAGGCTACCCACTCCAGTATCCTTGGGCTTCCGTTGTGACTCAGCTGGTAATGGATCCGCCTGCAATGCGGGGGACCTTGGTTCAATCCCTGGGTTCGGAAGATCCCCTGGAGAA